CAAAGCGATACCGCGTGCCGTTTGTTCGCCAAGTGGCCGCAGAGGCTCGATTTAAATAACGTACGCTGAAATCGGACTTAATACGGCCGCTCTCTCTCTCGCCCACCCTCTGGCGGTAAAACTACGCGTGCGCGAGCGCGATCGTTTAATTCCCCGACGATTATCGAAATAAAAGCCAAATTTATGCTCGCGGGACGGCCGATCGCGAGCGAGCATTATAACCAACGCGAACGCTCTCGCACGCTCTTTGCCCGGCATTCCGCAAATACGCTCTCATCGAATTGTTGTATCCGGCTGTTGTCGACATAATATCAAAGTATTATAACGACGTTGCGCCTGGGGAAGAGAAGGGAGGGAGGGAGGGAGGGAGAAAAAAACAGCGTGAACACACGAGTCGTGAAAAATGAACCGTATTTCAAGCACGGCCGCAAACATTCATGCGAAACGAGCCGTATATTAAATAAACACATAGCTGTTTGTTCATAAAGCCATTAATGCGCCGCGCGCGCGCGTGTGCGCGCGCGTGTGCTAAAAGCGCGCGGCGTGACGTGCAGTAATTTTTGAGAACACAAAAGCGCTTGTTCGGAAACAGTTTCAACGGTTTCGGCGTAAAATACGATGATACGTTTACGGGCTTTTAATGCGCTCCGTTTTCCGCGCGTGTCGGTAATCGCGATATCTCGGCGATTCGACGGCGTTAATGACGCCCGTAATAAACCAGTGTCCAGCCTGACGGTTCTCGGCCGCTCGACTATCGCAGCCGCCGCCGCCGCCGCCGCCGCCGTCGCCGCTCCGGCTGACCTTAAATCACACGCCGCGAAAGTGGAAACGCCACCGGGATCATCGGACATTGATTCATCTTGATCCGCGCTCCGGCGGGAATCCCGCGCCAGCAAATCAGAGTTAACGATCCGAAATTCCGCGGGAACCTGCCGGCCTCCTGTGTTCACACTGCGCGTTTAATGCTAAACGCTGCCGTATGGTTGTGAGTTCAGCGGATATAACCGGTCGCTTATACGCGCACGGGGCGAGGGATTAGATCCAGGCAGCGTTCCCACGTTCGCCGTTGCATACACGCCGCCGGGAATTCGGCTGTCGCGGTTTCAGGGTGTATCTTGAAGCGTTATGCGAGCCGGATGCATGTCGGCTAAATATTTAGCGAGTGTTGGCGAAGCTACCGCACGCGAAACGTCACTGCGCTCGAGAGCTCGAGAGCTGCAATTCCGCGGGATATCCACGCAATGATTATTAGAACAAATAAACAGAGTCGCCGGCGCGGCCGTAAGCTCGCCCGGTCGACGTCGGCCGCTCCACCGAGCGATCTTGCGAGACGCGCGCGCGCGCGTCTCGCAAGCATCTAACGTTACTGAGATAATCACAACCACATGAATAACTATTATTGTTCTTCCGCTCCGTTCAAATAAATCGCCGTTGCGCTTCATTTCTGCCCACCGAATCATTTCATGATCGCGTCAGCTGAACGACTCGGGAAACTCGAGAATCACTGGTTATCGCAGATATCACGAAAGCACGAAGCTGCAAGAGCGACCCGGAAAAAGCTAAGCCTCTCTCACTCGGCGCGTATTACAAAAATGTACCGCCGATGACGAGGACCACGGCCAGGAGGACGGGCCATTTGATGCAATCGGCTTGACGGCAGATCAGGCGTTACGAGCAAATAGCCCGTAGCGGGGTCAACGAGCCAGTGACTCAGGCTGAACGAAAAGTCTCAAGCAGAGACGAAGTCGATCGGCCGCGTAGTGTCGCGCGCGCCGCCTCGAATGCACGCACCGGTGGGCCGCCGCTTTGGCGGACCGCGGTTCATCGCATAATCAAGTGACGATGTGCGAATATCTCGATCATGCCGCGCTTGCTTGAAAATGTCGGAAGCGTCACTTGGGACTCGGGGAGGGAGCGCGACCGCCTGGAATGGAGCTTCGTGCGGCGAACGCGCGGCGCTCATTCCCCGCGTCAGCTCCGTAATCTTCTTATTCTTCGACACATTATTCCCCACGGTAAGATGAAACGCGGGATTTCTCTCGTCAACGAGGCGCGTTCCGATTGCGGACGCGAACAAATAGCTAGCAGCCGAGGCAACGAAGGCAACAACACCGCGCCGCGTCGGCGCGCCGTGCCGCGCGAGATATCGTATAGACGTGTAACAGGCGGAACATTTTGCTCCAGATCCGTCCGATCAATCCGTCCCATCTGAAAGCGCGCCGCTGCCACACGTATCCTTTTGGGTACGTGGAATCGTGAAAGCCCGCTCACACAAGCCCATGAAACCGCTCGGCAAAGCCCGTTCTATATACTAACCGATGTGGCACGCTCTCGCCGGTCGTCGGCGCGGCGCGGCGCGGCCGAAAGAAAGCCCCAAAACCTGAAATTCGAGCGGAGCCGACGTTACGCGAATAGTTTCATCAACGTCAGGCTTCGTTGCCGCGAAATTTCGATTAACTCCCCGCGAACACGTCGACAAGTGCGCGCGCACCTCGGCGACGGATTACCTGGGAAAATCGCTACGCTATTTCGCCCCGGCGCGGCGATCATAACTCGCGCGTCGAAGGGCAGCAGCGCGCCGCGCTGGCTGGCTAATAGAGTAAGATGACCGTGATGCAATATTCGCAATATCGTTACCTCGAATATCGATATCTCGAGTGGACATAAACTACTGCAAATGTCGGTCATCTTTGGCGATGATTACGAGAAACACACTACTTAACAATTACTGAAGAAATTACAGCCTATGGCCATCTTTTTTATACGGCCATTTTTATTTCAAATAGTGTATACACATAAACTGCTGTAAATATTAATTATTTTTTTAAATGATTACAAGAAACACACTATTTGACAATTATTGGAGAAATTACAGCCAATGGCCATCTTTTTTGTACAACCATTTTTATTTTGAATAATGCATGCACATAAACTACTATAAATATCAATTATTTTTGAGAATGATTACAAGAAACACACTGCTTGGCAATTATTGGAGAAATAATAGCCTATAGCCATTGTTATTTCGAATGGCGTATACACATAAATACTGCTATAAATATCAATTATTTTTGACAATGATTACGAAAAACGCACTGCTTAATAATTACTACAGAAATTGCAGCCTATGGCCATTTTTATTTTGAATAGTATACATAATATATATAATATACATATATAATATATATAAACTGTAAATATACATATATAATATACATAAATGTATATATAATATACATAAACTGCTATAAATATCAATTATTTTTGAAAATGATTACAAAAAACACACTACTTGGCAATTATTGAAGAAATTATAACTTGTAGCTATTTTCGAATAGTGTATGCACATAAACTATTGTAGAAATCAATTATTTTTAAAAATGATTACAAGAAACACTGCTTGGCAATTATTGGAGAAATTACAGCTAATGGCCATCTTTTTTGCATAACCATTTTTATTTCGAATAGTGTATGCATATAAATTATTATGAATATCAGTTATTTTTGAGCATGACTACGAAAAACTAGGAAATTGTTTAAGAATTATTGGCGAAATTACGGCCTATGGCCATCTTTTTTGTATGATCATTATTATTTCAAATGTGTGCACGTAAATTACTGCAAATGTCAGTCATCTTTGAAATTGATTACAAAAAATGCATTGTTTAACGATTATTGAAAAAAATATAGCCTGAGTATGACCATCTTATATGAGTTTATCGTATTTGTCGTCCCACCATTTCTTGCCAGGCTTCACTCATCACGTATCTGCTGATCGATGCAATCTGCCGCTACTCGGACGAATTTAACCTTCGACCAAAATTTCGCTGATTCGCTGATCACCAGCAGCGATCTGGTTCCCTTCGCGGTGCGCCTCGCAGCGTCGTCGAAGCGTAAATAAATCGCGGCGCGAGAGGGGAAAAAGAGAGAAGCGCAGGGAAGCTCGCGCTCAAGTTAGTTCTACAAGCCCGCAAGTCCGTCATTCGAAGGTTCGCACAATAGAGAAGCTATTAGCCCGTAATTCCGCGGACTCACCGGGTCGTGGGCTCGGCGAAGCTTCGGATAAAGAACTCGCGTAGATCACACACGATGCCTTGCGAGCGAGTACACACAGCCGCACAGTGTGTCGAGGGCTTTCCGCCTCGCGCACCGACATTAACGGCGGTTATTGTCGACAGAACCTCCTCTATGCGGCGCATACTTGGCAACGGCATTCGCGTCGATAAGTTTCTGTAAACAGGAACGCGTTACGCGTCGCTACCAATGTGCTGCAGTTTGGCAATACTCGCGCCGAGTCTTGCCGGAGTTCAATCGTCCGTGATGCAGGCGCGAGCAATTATCAAGTTCGAGGGGGGAGCGAGGGGCAAGTCGCGCCCTGCTAACGTGTTATCGATCAGATCCGCCGCGCGAGCAATATCTCGCGAACGCGGGTGCGTTTCAACGAGAGAGAGAGAGAGAGAGAGAGAGAGAGAGAGAGAGAGAGAGAGAGAGAAGGGAAAGACTTATTTCCAGCGGCACAAGCAGTTTCGCTGAATACAAGAGTCAACCTCGCGACAGCCGCAAGCCGGCAATCGTTCGAGGTCGTTCGCGAGTCGCCTTCGCGGAAACGAGGCGGCCGAGGGAATTAGACCGGCGCGCGAGAGAGCGCCGCGACGGCCAGCAATAACCAACATCTAATGCGGCCAAAGTTCGGCGATCCGTTAACGATGACAATATCATAATTCTCCGCGGCGGGGGCATCCGAAGGCAAACGCGCGCCGGCTCGACAACAAGACGGAACCCTCTCTCGACGGACGGACAGACGGTCAGAGAGGAGGCGGGCGTGTGTGCGCTCCGGTGCACCCTCGATCTCGCAGCGGCCACCTCCCTCCCCCCCCGGCGGCCGCTCGTCGAGGAAGAGAGAATCGCAGAGGGTGTGCGGAGGCGCACGAGCGAGAGAGGAGAGACGAGAGAAGCACAGCGGTCTGCGCGTAACCGGTCCGCGCTTTATCCGCGGCGAACGCAGCAAAGTCATCGCGCAGGCGCGCCGACGGAAGTCTCCCCCGCAGGATCATTTCGCGCCGCGACGCCGAGCGGCAGGCCTCATCCGCGTCGGCGGCTGCTGGTCCATGCGGCTTCAACGTCGTCGCGCGGGACGACGACGACGACGACGACGACGGCGACGACGACGGTCCGACGTGGACGCCGCGAGACGTCGGTGACGAGCACGCGCCCCATTACGATGACGAGAGTCATCCGCCGCCAGGGTCTCGCGAGTTAATCGAGCAGACTGTCGATCAGGGATCGCGAGCGAATGCGACCGCCAACGCGCTGGTCCCGGAAGTGCCGGAAGATGCTGCGGCAGACCACTCGCGGCTCGCGCGTCGCGACGCTCCAGACGACGAGGGCTCCACGTGAGCGCGGGTGTCAGCGGGGCCAGCCGCAGCTTGGTCGCGCTTTGGCGGCCGCGGAGCAGCGTCTGTGAAGCGTCTGGGAACCGTGAAAAGCCCTCTCACAAGGCGCGCTCGATCGCCGACGCGCCGCGATCAGGCATTGCTCGGCCCAACAGGGAGCAGCAAGAGGATTGCACTCGCGCTGATCGCTCGCTGATCGCGATACGCGATCACGCACGTCTGCCTCGCCGCACGCCACCCCGGGCCGGATCTCTCTCCGCGCGCGGCAGAGAGCAGCGCTGAGAGCGTTTGTTCCGCGCGAGCTCTTCTCCGCTCGGCTAACTTTCACGAACTCAGAGCCGGGCGTTTCAGCGAGAATCGTTCGTCTGTCTGTCTGTAAGGTGTTAATCGTGGTGCAGTGTCGGAGCGTCTAGGTGGGATCGGAGCCGGTTTTCACAGTGCGAGCGAGGAACAGGTTCTTCAAGGAGTTGCCAGAGTCGGAGGTGCCGTGTCCGACGCCTCGCGCTCTCGAGGATCGCCGCGAGGACCTCGCCCGGCGGAAATACTGTCGCCGTAAGCAAGTGTGCGCGGGTTACGACGGACGCGGGCGCTTTCGATGCTTTCGAGTACGCGTCGTGGCCGTCGTGAGTGAGAGTAAATCGAGGGGAAGAGGCGAGAAAGCGGCGAGAAAACGGTGACAGCGGCAAGGATCGGTAGTGCAGCGATCGAGCGATCGAGGTGTTAAAAATGCTGTGTCGCTGGCTCGCCGTGTTGGTACTCGCTGCTTTTCTGCTGGTTATCGAAGCGATCGCGGTCAGCCAAGGTACGTTGTTGCTGCGAAATCCCTCTTCCCACTTCCCACTCCCGCCCCACAGTCCGAAGCGCCGGCGAGCGGGTTAAGTCGGCCGGCATGATTTCCCCCGACTTCGCCCCCGACATCGTCGTCGTCGTCGTCCTCGATCTCGTCGTTGTCGCGGCAACTTACCGCGTTCTTGCGGAAATGTTCGCGAGATAACGTGTGCGCGCCCGCGGGACTAATCTGCGTAATTGAATGTCAGCGATGAAATCTGATACAGACCCGCCATTTTCGCGCTCATCCGGCAAACTTATCGCGCCCGCTGAAATTAATGCCGGCGGCGCGCGCGCGCGCGCGCGCGACAAGGCTAATCTTCGTAATCAAGCGCCGCTGATGAAGTCCCACGCGCGCGCGTGGCCCTTCCCTTTTCGCAATTAGCACACTTATGATGCCATCTGCGCCATCGCAGAGGGCTATTGCCCCGGCAGGGCAGGATGATGTTTCGTGAAATCGAACGTGCGCGCACAACGACGAGCAATCCCGTGGCAAAGAAAGCTCCATCGCGCCATGTTGAGCCATCGCGGTCAGTCTTGCGCTGCTAATCGTGAATTGACAAGAGCTGCGAGCGGGGAGGCAAATTCGAAAACACCAATTGGAGGATTGTTAGCGATGGCGAACGAATCGTACCTCCAAAGTGTCTGCCTGAAATCCAAAGGGACGAGTCGCATACGAAGCGCGTCCCTCGCCGGGAAGCTCTCGGAATTTTCCGCGAGGTCGTGCAGAGTTACGTAACGTTGAACGGGGCCTCGGCTGTCGCTCACGGCGTGATCCGGAGTAATTACGCGGGCGGGGATTACGTGAGTAATTCGACGGGGCCGCCGCGGCAACTCGCAAGTTGTGGAGAAGCCGCGGGCTGCCAGTTTGGAAGCGTCCCGCGCGCGCGAGCGCTCGTCTGATCGCAGTCGCGTGTTCAGCTTCGCGCCGCTAATTGTCGGTTCATAGTCGGTGATCCAGGATAATCGCGCGGGCGGCGCTTGCTCAAGCGCGAAGCGCCGCGCGGCGCACCACGTACTGGGAGATGGCGTACGTGCTAATGTGCGGGAACACGTGCGAGGGTTCACCCTGGCTCCCGATTTAGCGACGCGACGACGACGGGGCCGAGGCCGATCCCATCTGCGAGATCACCCGGCCACCAGCGGGGCGTTTTTTTACGGTACGTCAACCGTTGAATAATTAAAAGTTGGCTCGTTCGTCAGCCGACGAGGGGCTCCGCGAACAGGCACATAATTGCACTCGATTGCTCTGCTGGTGACGCCGAGACGCGACGTGAACTTTGTGACCGATGCAGCTCGAAACGCTAACGGAAGTACACACGGGCAGAGAGCGAGAGAGAGAGAGAGAGAGAGAGAGAGAGAGAGAGAGAGAGAGAAAGCAGGGAACGCAAAAGTGGCAGCGCTCCGCGCCGCTGCGTGTATTGGCTCGAGACCGTAATTGAGTACGGCATGCAAACACTCGCGGCGATTGTCTCGCCAGCTATCAAGAGAGACGTCGCGATTTCATCTGCTCGTGACTGAACCCCGCGAGCGAACACAAGATAGAGAAAGAGAGAGAGAGAGAGAGAGAGAGAGAGAGAGAGAGAGAGAGAGAGAGAGAGAGTGAGTGGCGAATTTAGCAAAGCTTGCTCGGGTCCAAATTCAACGCGTGCGACTAATGGCAAAGTATCTGAGTTAAACGCAACGCAGAGCGAGAGAGAGAGAGAGAGAGAGAAAGAGAGAGAGAGAGAGAGAGAGAGAGAGAGAGAGAGAGAGAGAGCGAGAGCGAGCGAAGCACAACGCGAATTTCTCGCCACAATTACTGAATCGTGAATTCGCGATACGGAGCGGAGCGGCGCAATTGCCGTTGAATGAACGCTCTAAGAGTTCGGTTTAGAACGCTCCTTGATCAGATCGCCTCCGACGCTGTTATATTCCCGCGCGGATTTTATTACTCTCGACCAATTAACCGCGGACGGACGCGCGAATACTTGCGCGAGCGCGCGTGGAGAGCCGCGCGGCCAGCTTGCGCCATGCCGCCGTGCGCGTTTGCGTGCCGCGTGTGCGTTTAACGCTAATGCGGATTCAGCGGCGACTTGATTGACGTATATGCGAAATGATTCAACGGCCGCAGGCCGAGGCTCTCTCTGCTGAGTGCATAAGCGATGAGAGGCGATTCACAGCGCATTAGGAGCTCTCCGTAATCGCTGGCGTGGAATCTGACGGCCGAGCTTCCGATCAGCGAAGGTATTGAACGCTGCTCCCGGTCGAAACGACGACGCGTCGGAATTTCCCAGCCCCGGCGACAGCTCTCCGTCCTCCTCGCGAGACCTTTCCAAGTCGGCGTCGAAGAGGCGACGGCGATCTCACCGGAAATGATCGCGTGCCATTACGGCGCGGCGCGGCGCAGCGCGGCGTAGCGCGGCGTGAAAAGAACGCGCGAGCCTCGACCATCCCCGGCCTTGGACGCAAGTCCGAGCTAATTCCAATCCGCGATAACGGCCCGAGGGCGAATTAATTAACAAGCGCGAGACTCGCGTTGTTCTCTTTGACGCGCGAGCGTTTTTTAATATAATCGGCTTCTCGGCTTGCACGGAGCGTCGCGTGCGGCGCGCATAATTGCGATCGCGCAATTAACCGAGATCGCGATTTAGCCACGAGGGCTTTTAATTAGCGAGTCGCGTCTCGGAAAGTCGCGCTGGAGAAAGAAAGACTGACAGAGAGAGAGAGAGAGAGAGAGAGAGAGAGAGAGAGAGAGAGAGAGAGAGGCATCGGGGAGGGGACGTTTATCCCGCGTTACTTATTAAAGATATCTCCTTTGAACAGTTTGTTATTCAGGTCGTTTGCCAGTTTTTGTCGTCGTTTATGAACCCCCTTTTGAGGGAGGATGTCTTTTTTCCCACGTTCTTCGCCTCGGTATCAAATGACCGAAAGGAAATCAGGCTTTTAATAAAGAGGGCGGACTTCAAAAAGCCTCCGGCAACCTCTCCCGCCCCTCCATCGCTGAGCCTTCTGTCTTTCCTTCTGCTCGTTGTGCACCTCTTCGAGTTGTGTGAAATAGTGGCGGGCGCCGTTGATCAAGCCGCATAACGGCATCGCAATCTTTTCGGACGATATTAAGATTCTAAGGGAATCCATTAAGACGTGCGAGTCGTCGGCGCGATGAGGAACAGGCCGACAAAAAGCTCCCCGTTCCAACGGAAACTCGTTAAGGCCGTTCTCTAATTGCGGAAAATCAATCTCGCAAAGTTGCGCGAGCGGGAACGTTGCTTTCCACCGACACGCACAAAATCGCGTCGTTAGTCTCCGTAATTATAGAGAGACAGTCTCCGAGTCGGCGGGAGCTCATTCCGCTTGGACTCGATGTGCAGTTTTCTACGGGAGACACTCTTGAGGACGCCGACTTCATCAAAAGAGTCTTTGACGGATTCGAATTTGGCCTCGCTTTAGCGGAGGCACGATTGGAAAGCAGCGCAGCGTCTACGCGGTCTTTTTAACATTAGTCTTGCGAGTTTACATGTCTCGATCGAGAGAACTGCTAGATAATTCTAGATAATCTAGATAATTCCGTCCGAATGAAATCTGTACGCGACGTTGGAGGACCGGCGAAGAAATCGCGTCACGCGACTGTAAAGTCAACAATCTCTCAAGAGGGAATCGGATCTAAACCAGTTGCATAATCGGCAAAGGCGATTTGCAACATAATTGCCGCAAAAACTCGCGTCTACCCGGGTAAATCCGATAACCGGGTCATAAACGGGAAGGGAAGACCAATCAGATTGAGACTTCGGGGACTCTCTCTCTCTCTCTCTCTCTCTCTCTCTCTTTCTCATTCTCTCTTCCTCTGCCTCGCGTCCGGGACGTAAATGAAGCCGAAAGAATCCGCAAACCGAAATCGAAAGGTGTCAAACTGCTCGTTCTGGCCGATACGTTCGCGCCGCCGGTGCTAATCCGTTTACCTAGGCTCAATCGATAGCTTCATCCTGGAATTCATGGCGAAACTCAAGCCTCGGAACACGCTGCGGAGAGCCGTGTAATTGAAAGTAGCTGACAAGCGGTCAAATTCAGTAGCGGCGGCGGCGGCGACGGCGGCGGCGGCGGCGGCAGTTCAAACAGTAGTTACACGTAATTTTCGTTGCCGACACGGTTACACAAGATTCCGGTGTTACGAATCCGCGATACATACCGGAGAGTCGCTGTAGATGCGTTTACATAGTATGTACAAATTTCCATTTGCAGTCGCGCGACATTCGCGGCACACGCGCACACGCGCGCTTGACGCGGAAAGGGGAAATTTCGCGGCAAGGATGTCTCATAGGTTTCAGTTACATCGACGGAAAAGAAATATAAGGTGTCCGGGATCTTTTGGAAACGAAAAGTTGTGAAGATTAATCAGATCAAACTGCGAACAAAAGTCAAGTACCATTTTGCAAAAGTCGCAATAGTTATTAAGTTAGTAATAGTTGAAAATGACTACATCTAGAAGCTCTTTTAATTGATAACAGACAAAAGTTGTATGATTTTAAAGGGGACATAAAACAACTGTATCATTTTGTTTACAGATGACGCTACTTTCAAGATATTCACTAATCATTATTTCTCGTAAATGAAAACCCCAACTTTTTATTGTATCATCTTTTTACCCATATCATTTTTTTTTACCTATTAATTTGAATAACTTTTGTCTAAAACATTTTTTTATTTGCCTAATATTTTTTGAGACATTTAAGAAAAATTTGATAACTTTTTCAATATTTAACTTACGATATCTCGCTAACTATTTGACGAAAGAAAAACTGGTATTAGACTTTTTTACTCTATTTAGTCTTAAGAATATATTGTTAATTTAACTTTTGAATAACAACTTTTGTTAATTTATCGATCTCTGGAAATCATCAAATTAACAAAAGTCAGGACGCTATTGTAATAATATATTCTTGAGACCAAGTAGAATAAAAAAACCTACTATCACTTTTTCTTCCGACAAATAGTTAG